CCAAATAACCCAATTATTACAGTCTATAGACTACGGGAAATTCTTACAAAATTGGCCTCCACTTGGAATCTCAAATCATGTCTCCACTTGGGTCAAAAAGATCACTACGATTGCCTTGTTGAAGCTTTTGCCTCTAGGCTTAACTGTAATTTTGCAAAATGGAAAATGAGGGAATGCATCCAGGTAAAATTCTGGATGTGGATTTAAATCAGATTTTTTAAAAAAAATCTTAAATAAAGAACAGTCTCTCCTCATTGTAATCTAATTCCCTGAAAAAATGTGCCTTCAAAGTAGAGGCAGAAGTTCTAGATTTCCAAATTCAGTTTAGCTTCCAGGGTACTGGGTGATCATGAGCTCTTAACCTCTGCATCTGCCTTTTTGCAATCGTCATATCACAAGGTTGATACAGATCTACCTCACAGAGACCATGCAAGGATTAATTAAGGTTAAACAGGAAGAAAAAAATTGCATTTGACAAGCCAGGCCTCATCCATGCTGCTAAATAGACTCAGATGTTTTAACAACTGTTCAGATTATTTGGTAGCATCCTAAGTAAAGAATAAATGTGCGTAATGCATTTTAGCTGTGAAGGCATTTTTAAAAATCAAAGATTCCAATATTTCAAATGGGAAGAGAGAAACAATCTGGCTCCATTCAGGTCGAACCCATCACACTGGGCACCGTTCACTCCAAAGTTTTCTGATCTATCAAACATTGTGAACCTTACGTTCTTAGGAGAGTCTCATGGCAAGGGAAGACTTCATACTTCCTCATGCCTAGGCATTTATCTTCTTTTCTCTTGTAAAGATGGTGAAGGGATTTCAACTTCTCTTTTCATGTCTTTTGCATTGCTGAGGCACTAATGGCTACATGCAACTCTGACTGATCAAGAAAGCATTTGTTTCTACTTTTTCATCTTATGCTTTTGTTATCCAAGTATGTCTGAACATTCATTGCCTGAGGAAATCCCAAAAACTTTAGAGCTCGCAGAGATGGCACTGATAATAACTGAATGTGGGTATCAGTTTTTGTAGCTTTTACTGGCACACACAGACCCAAGGATGTTCCAAAATATGTTTGTGTGTTGGGAGTGGCAATTGGCAAAGGAAAGGAAGCATATAGAAACATGGAAAGGTAATGGGCTTTACCATTTTCCTTCTCTTGCTATTAAAGGAAAAAGATACTTGAGATTCCCATCTTTGAGGGTCGTTCTTTAAGGAATTTTAAAATAGTATCTTTTGTAATATTGTACAGCATCATACTTAGGAACATAAGCTCTAAAGCTAGATAACCAAATTTGAATATCATTTCTCCCACTTGCTGTCTGGGTGACCCTTGAATAAATTGTTCAAAATCTATGTGCCTTGGTTTCCTCATCTTAAAGAGGGAGATTACTATACTACCTAGCACATAAAGTTACGATAAAGGAAAAAAAAATTATGTACATGTAAAGCACTGAGAACTTCTGGAACATAGTAATCATTCAATAAATGTTAGTTATTTTTATTATCTATCACTTTAAACACCTATATTTTAACTCAATATCATTTCAGGTCCAAGAAAGTTTAACCACATTTGAAACTTTTCTAAAAAATTCGGGTGTATTTTTGTCTTTTAATGACAAAAATAGGGAAGAAGGCAATCCTCAGGACCTTCCAGCACCTTAGGATCATCGCTCTGATCAACATTCTCCTTATAAGCATTCTGCTTTAGCAAAATGTGTGTCTCCAGCTACATCCTAGACTTGTGGGGGCAAATACATTGCACACTGCCACAGATCTTTCCTTGGTTACCGAATGATGTGCAATAAAAAGATTCAAAACTCCTTACTATTAAAAAATCAATGAGCATTTATTTAACTCACCTGTCTCCTGGAAGTCAACTGAACTGGGCTAGGCGGCCATGCTGATGTCAGCTGGGCTTGTTCATCCAGTGGTTGATGAGCTAGAGATCAGCTGACCTGAACTTTTTTCTCCTTTTGGAAGCAGCAGGCCAGGCTGGGCATGTTCACCTCCTGGTGGTAGCAGAAGTAGAAGAGGGCAAGCAGCAACATGAAAGGTCTCTTAGGTCTAGTCTCAGGGGCGCACTGCCATTCTGACTCACTGCAGTCAAAGCAGGTCACATGATGAATCTCAAAGTCAAGAGGTGCACAAATATTCCTCTTAGGGAAACTAAGTGGAGGAAAAGAATATTTCTGAACAATAATTCCAACTACCACACCCATACAGACACTGTTAATTGATCAAAATACTCTTTTCCAGTGTGTCCGAGTATAGTTTTTATATCCTTAGCAGCCATAATAATCGCCAGGAAACCTGCTAAAAATGAGGGAAAAAAGAAAAAAATCTAACTGAGACTTTGGGTTTTGCAAATGTTTAATAAATTTATAGAATAATAGATCTGGATCCCAAATTCTATCTATAATATAAAACATTACATTGTTATATTTCAGAAAAAAATGTTATATTTATTTCATTGGTGACTGAGTTAGTTTGAAAAAATATGTACGTATGCAATAAATATCAATAAAAATTGCCACTGTATTTTAAAACATCAATAATTTTAGTTATTTATCAATCATTTATCTTGTTTTATAAAGAGAATATTCTGAGAATCTTTAATAGTAGTTTGTTACTTTTCATTGAAAAAATATCCATATGTTTTTCACAATTTTGAAACTAAAAACGTGTAAGAACATATATAAATGTTACGGTGCCAAACCACCTACACAGCCACTTCTAGTTCACTTATTTTAAACCATATTAATACTAAAATCATATGTATTTTTCATTTATTCTGTTTATTTTTGAATTAAACTTTTAAAATAACTTCATTGTTTTCTTATTCCAAATGGCTTTCTTAATATTTTAATTAAAATATTATGATTTATGCTTCCTTCACATAGTTTAAACATTAAAAGGAAGTACAATTTGCAAATTCAACACAAGAAACTTTTACTGCAACTTGACTTTTATAAAATGATTGTATGCATATTTATAC